CTAGGTTGCCAGATAGTACTCTGTTCTGCACTTCATCCACTTCCCTGGCCCTATGATACGCTGTCTGCAGTATCCTCGCGCAGCCCTTCTATAGTTGATTACCGTAGGGCCATTTTAGCACTCCTGGCCATTGCTACTGTTGAAGCGCTGATGTATTCAGTTTTATATTTTATTTTATTTCAGTGTCTTTTATCAGGGTTTTTTGTATTTTATTATGTTTTTATTCTTATTTTATTTTTATTTTTCGCTATTTTGATTATAAAGTTATGGTTATATTGTTCTATATTATCTAATGTGTCTTGTCCTGATGTAAACTGTTAGTATGGCTTTTCTTTTGGCATTGAATATTTGCCATATTTGTTGGAAACCGGCCTGAGTCCCTTTGGGGAGATATTATTTATTTATTTATTTATTTTATAGTTGGAAACAGGGAAAATTATTTGTTAAATTGAACTTGTTTCTTTTTATTTCTTTTTCTTCTATCAGATCTGTTCCCAATGAGTCATGGGTGACCCAACACCTTTTACCACCTGAAATGTGAATTAATATAACCCCTCCATGGCAGGAAGGGCAGGCTTCAGTGCCTATACACATCAGATATTGCCTCCCAAATACTAGGAGGGTCATTGGTAGATTAGTATGGCACTTCCTAAGAATGGTTATTTCCCAAATGTTGGTTCTGTGAGATTCAAAGTAGCAGGCATTGCTGGAAAAATACCTGGTAAATTGCTTGTGCCACAACAGAGGTGGGTTTTTAGGTCACTCTGCCTACAATTTCTGGTCCTGAGGCCCTCTCAAAACCAGGCTTTCGGGGAACAACTGTCTTTGGAGAGCTGCATGGAGCATGCTGGAGTTTTGCAGAGGGCCCTCTGAGACCAGAGGAGCTGCTCCTAGCAATATGCTGCCTTAGGTGATCTCCTCACTACCTAATTGTAGGGCTAAACATGCAACTGGTTATAATTATGAATAGTTTTCAAAAGAAATCTTGATGTGTGCTATTGAACTCACATGCACATTTACACTTATTGACACTTTTCAACTTTGACCTTCTGCAGTCTGGCTTCCTATCTCAATTGGTAAGGGTTCTATCCTACACTACTATCCGGACAACAATTTATAATACGAATAGTCCTCAGTGAAAGAAAACGGAGGCACTCAAACTACTTTGATATAAATGTAATAGACATAACAACAATGTAGTTGCATCCCCATCTTGATGATGTCAGACATGGGAGCCAGCTATTGTTTCTTTGTCCCAAAATATAAATTGTAATCTGACATCCTCAGTATACTCTGCAGTGACCTTTGGCAAATGAGACTGCAGTCCCTATCTTGAGACTGGTTAAATGCAAACATTTACACAACATCTGACTCAATGTTTATTCTCTTTGTTTCTCCTATCCAAACTTCTTATACTGTCTTGAACTGGAGGTCTCAAAGCTTGCTCATTGTTTTGTGATGCTTATGATGTGGTACTAATCAAAACTGTGGATTCTGGAAATTTCTATTTTGTTTGTTTTTAATGGGTCAGCCATGGCTAAAGGAACTTTAAATTAACCTAATAATGTCTCAGCAGAGAAATTCTGGGGAAATCTCTTTTATTATTTTAACTGATAATTTTGCCAGAATGAAAGCCAAGAAGATGTCATTCAAGGAACCATTCCTGTTAACCATTAATTATTGTAATAACATTTTTGTTTTTTTGTGTTGTGAAAATGTTTGGTAGTTCCAGCTCTTAATTTTAGGAACGACAAGTGGTGTTTATGGGTAATAAGATGACTCACAATTTCCTGGGATAGAAATACATTTCATTTGCATTCCATTAATTTTCCATTTGCTTACTTAATGAATTGGCATTCATTATTATTAATGAATTCACTATCATTAAATGCTATACACTAAACTATATAATACATTTATTATGTAGATATCCAATGCATTTTGATGTGCTATTTTATCTATTGACAGCTTGAGGGGGCAAGAGGAAAGCTCCAAGACTCTTTTGCCCCCAAATTATTTATTTGTGGTCCAAGGTTTAGCTTAGCCTATGGAAGATGGATTTGAATAATTCAGAATGCTAAAACATTTTCAGGAAAGTCAGAATATTATATAGAGAAAGGGGAGTGGGATATAGTGGAAAAATTAGCACAAGAGTCTCTCACATTTAGTGCACTACTATTGCAAAGCTACTCAGCAAGCAGCTATGTTTGGATGATAACAACAAAAAGATGATTACAGCAGGAGGGAAATTGATATTGATAACTACCATTCCTATAGTGAGATCATAGACTCATAATGGCAACATTAGCTAAGAGTTTAACTCAACTACATCTATATAAATAAAACTGTAGTGTTTGTTTGTGGTATTAACAGAACTCAAAAACCACTGGACAAATTGCCGCCAAACTTGGCCACAAGACACCTACTAACCCAAGGAGTGATCATCACTAAAAAATGATTTTGTCATTTGGGAGTTGTAGTTGCTAGGATTTATAGTTCACCTACAATCAAAGAACATTCTGAACTCCACCAGTGATGGAATTGAAAAAAATATGGCACACAGGACTCCCATGACCCACAGAAAACACTAGAAGGGTTTGGTGGGCATTGACCTTGAGTTTTGGAGTTGTAGTTCACCTACGTACAGAGAGCACTGTGGACTCAAACAATAATGGATCTGAGCCAAACTTGGCACGAATATTCCATATGCCCAAATATGAACACAAATGGAGTGGGGAAAATAGACCTTGACATTTGAGAGTTGTAGTTACTGGGATTTATAGTTCACCTACAATCAAAGAGCATGCTGAACCCCACCAATGACAGAATTGGGCCAAACTTCCCACACAGAACCCCCATACTTAAGGCCATCCAGTCCAACTCCCTTCACCGGGGCAAGAAAACGTAATCAAAGCCCTCCTGACAAAGAGCCATCCAGCCATAGATATATATGATTCACACACACAGATATAGTATCATAGATTTAAAAGGGACCCCTAAAGAAGGACAATTATATGTTGCCTGTTCCAGAGTGGGCAAACCAGACAATCTCCACATCAACACTGACAAAGAAAGAGCAAGAAATACTGTTTAACTGCAAGCATAAAGAAATTGCACATATCAGAAACCAAGACTTTCTAATTACTTATTTTCCAGATCACCAGACTGGGCCACAGCAATGCATGGCAGGGGACGGCTAGTATGTTTGTAAAAACTGACCATTTTGTGATACATACTGGCCATTGGCAGTTGGTGGGTCCGCATATGGAGCAACAGATCTCTTCTGGGTTTTGGATAGCATTAGAGAAACTCTCCAAGATTTTGAATCTGGAAAATAGTTCAGAGCCTTGAATGTCATTTATAAAATCTAAAGTAAAATGTGGTATGGATTCACCAGGATACTGACAACAAAACCATTGGCCACAACTGGCATTGACATAAATACATTTTTGCTCTGTCTTCCATTTTATGTTGGTCCACCCAACGGGTTCATGGTAACTCATATAACTTATCTCTTGTTTTTCCATCCTACCTCACCACAGATCGCAAGTTCCTCATTGCCAATGCACAAATGGAGAGCTGTGCCATCATTTACTGCAATGATGGTTTCTGTGAGATGTTTGGCTACTCCCGGGTGGAGGTGATGCAGCGGCCATGCACCTGTGATTTCCTCAGAGGGCCTGACACTACACACAACTCCATTGCACAGCTGGGCCAGGCATTGCTTGGATCGGAGGAGTGTAAGCTGGAGATTCTCTACTACAGAAAAGACAGTAAGAAATTATTTTACTATTTAGAGTCTAGTAACCAGATCATAGCTAACGCTTGTTAGTACTGTGAAAAAGGAAGCAATTTAAACCTCCTTTTGATGATCTTTTACTATGAAAAATCTTGTGATGGGACAATCCAAAATGAAACAAGGGAAAGTGCTAGTAGCTGAAATTTCTAGGCTACATGGCACTCAGTGAGCTACTGGGATACTCCCTTCCATGGAAATAACCCATCCTTATTTTCTCCCTCTTTTCATTCCTTTTGAAGCAACCAGAAAAAGAATACCCAAAGATACTGAGTCAGGAAAGTTCTTGCTCTGCATCCGCTCCACTATATTTTGCGACTAGCTGAGTGGGCAGTTAGTTTCACCCATCTCCTCCCTTCTACATGTCTACTACATTTCAGGGATAAAGTAGTTTTATGTTGTGTGAAGGGCTCCTGAAATGTCTTAGAAGTGTGTGGAAATGAAGAGCACTTGCGGCTGATGAGGTCCTAGGAGTGGCAAGTCATAGGCAGTCTGTCAGTAAATGAAAGCAAGAAAAGAACTACATTTCTAAAATTCTTGGTATGCCCCCAGAATTTTATTTCTGAGAGTTCCTAGAAGTCAGAACACAACAGATGTGCCAGTTCCAAATACAGTCATGAACAATGAAAACTAGAAGATTAAAGGATGCAGCTGCAACATTAGAAAAGCTGAAGTCCATAATAGGAGAGTCACTGACAGTCAAGGAGACTTGAAAGACACCTGTGTTCCCCTTCTCCTTTCTGGATTTGCTTTCTACTTTGTTCCATCTACATATATTTCAACACTCTCATACAAAACCACTTCCCATCCTAATTTTCTTTTCCATGAGTTACATTTTGCTTCTGGTCCTAGATAACAGACCCTTTCACTCCCTCCCTCTCTCACACATCTAATCTCTTTTTTCTTTCCTCCCCCCCAGCCTATTTTCCTCCCTTCAATTTTTCTTCTTTGCCAGCCTTGAGAAAGTATTCATGTCTATTTTTAAAACTCTGTCCCACTAACAGGGTGAATATCATTGTCTCTGCTGCTTGACCCTCAGTCTGTGATCATTCATCTCTGTATTATAAAGTGGTGTTACTGGCTGGGGAAAGACCCAGTGTTATTGGCAGCTGCAGCTTAATTAGATGACAGAGCCTCCATCCATTAGGTCTGTTTCTCACAGTGTTGCCAGCAGTCTTCAGAACCTGTCTGCAGTTTATTGCTCTGTGACTTGTATGGTCCTTTCCATGCTTTTGCAATCCACCAGAGACAAAACAGTTAGTGGCTCATGTTCAAAAACAGTGTCTGGTGCCAGAGAAAGAGAATAAACAGTGGGCAGATTGCCCACGTTTCTCAGAAGAGATGAAACACTGAACAAGGCACCCTGAATTGCACGAACAGCGGAGCAGTGTAAGAAATGGAAAATGAGTATCTGTATATATCCAGTATTCCACATACACAACACTGTTATCTGTATTAATAGGGCATATTTGACATATAAAGATATCTTTGCTTATTCTGCTTGATATTTTATGCTACTTCTCTTTAAGGGTGTAAAATAAGGAGGTAGGCAATACAGTCAGGGTGTTCCACAGGCATCTGAATATCTCGTTCGGCCCACTTTCTGGCATCTGAGTACTCACCAAGCATTGCTCACAGATGTAAATCAAACCCTAATGCAATCATGGCTGGAGAATAGAAGACTGTGGGATGTGGGTTTGAGAAAGGAGGCGAAGAAAGCTGCAATTCTCCAGACAATAATATTTTGCGTTTCTTCTGCAGAATACAGATGGAAGAAGATGCTTTTTTAAATGAATGCACATTTGTAGGCATTGTACAGTACTCATGTTGCACATAAACCTTGGATCCCCAGAATTTTGCTGGACCTGTATTCACCTCAATTTCTGGCAAAAGCCACCCCCTCTTCTCCAGTTTTTCTGCTGAACAAATTATTTGTGCACGTACTTCTTTAAAATATGCCCTCTCCTGCAAGAGTAGAAAGTATCCCCCAATACTGCCCAGAAGAAACTTTTGGTTACTGGAAAATCACTTCCAGGCCTCCTAAAATGGTGGTCATATGGCCTGTGTTGTAAGACACTGACAACATTGCTCTCTTTACAGAGGCCTCATCTTGGTTCAGAATATAGAATGGACATGCTGGATCACTCTGACATATTTAGATGCCAAGTCTAATTAAATAGCCCATTATTTTCTTCCCTAAAGTGACATGTTTTGTTTGTTTTTGGAGAGGTTCCTGTTCAAGAGACTTTTGTCATAGCATGTTCCATAATTGTTTTCACACCTGTACCTTGCCTTTATTTTGCTTTTTTAGTGATTGGTAACTGGAAGGTAAACACAGGCCTAATTTGCAAGTGTGATTGCTAGGATACATAGAACCACAGAGATATATCTTGCTGTGAGGAGCAAACGGTGTTAATGATAAAAAAAAAAGGCATTCTCCTTAACATTAATCAAGAACCTAGTGTTTTGAAATTAGTTTAAAGGTTGTAGGTTGCCCATTCTTGCCCCTCCACACTCCCTGTGAATTGAGGACATTCTCTCAGGAATGTTAAGGACTTCACAGGAGATCAGCGAAACAGTAATAGCATATGGTCAAAAGCTACAGGTTAATGCTTTTCTCTGTTGCTATAAGGTTTTCCATTCTATTTATTTTGAGTGGTTATTACACAGTTAAAAGCTAACAGTATCCAGTGTGCACAATCTGTATCAAGAAATCTGTGTTATGCAACATATCAATTATAATAGTAATAGCATGGGGTATTTTATAAAATGGGAAGAGCTAGGAGCTATGTGTGGTACTGGACATTTAAATGTTATTCTCCATCCTTCATAATTTGATATTTCACCAGGCATTGCACATACAGTACAACCTGCACTTCCATGGGACTGTTTTGTAGTTCCTCTAGTGCAACTGATGGTCTATTTCTGTAAGAAGTCTACCCTAGAGTCATGCTGAATGACCTATGGATTCTCTTTAGGCATTTTCTAAGTCTTCCAACATCATTCTATGGTATACCTCCATCAGAAGCAGTCCATTTCAAGAGTTTCACTGCTATCTGCTGTTTCACATATTTGCAGTAAGTCCAGGAATGTATCAGTGTGGATATAGTGATCATACTGTATACTTTTAATTCTGCCTGTAGTGACATACAACGGAACATCTGATTTTTTAAAACAACTTTAAAATTAAAGTTAAAAGACTAAAACAAATGAAAACCCATCTTTCTAGAATAATAGGCCAACTCGAATATAAGCCGAGGCACCAAATTTTACCACAAAAAACTGGGGAAACATATTGACTCAATATAAGCCTGGGTGGGAAATGCAGCAGTGATTAGTAAATTTCAAAATAAAGATACCAATAAAATAACATTAATTGAGGCATCAGAAGGTTAAATGTTTTTTGAATATTTACCATATTTCAAAGAAAAACGGTAAACTAGATCTGTAAGTAGAAAAGTAGGGTCAACAAAAACAATATGTTATCAACAACAACATAATATTTTATTTTATTTTTTGCTGTATTTTATCTTCAGGCTTGGCCTCATGTTAGCTTCCGCAAGTCCCCTTTGGGGAGATGGTGGTGGGGTACAAATAAAGATTATTACTATGCTTACTATTATTATTATTAATTACTTAACTCTACTCATCTAAACCCAAACCCACCAGCACTACAACAGCAAAAGAAAAATACACTAAAAGCTAGGGAAACGGGATAGGGAAGATTGTAGGGGTAAAGACATAGGGGTTTGGGATGGGGGAGGGGAAGGGGATACTGCACTAAGGATATAGTTAAAACTTCCAATCTTCTTTATCGTGGTTAGTATTTCTTCTTTCTAGTCTTTCTATTATCCCAATTGTACTCTTCTCTCCTCTTTCTTGTCAAATGGCCTGGCAGTGGGTTGATCTGTCTGTCTATCATTATTTTGATGTTCTTTTGAATTAAGTAGTCTCTCACTGGGTTCCAGTTCATTTCTTCATTGCATATTCCATGATTTTTTTTAAAGAGTGATCAATTCATCCATGTTTGATTTCTAATATTTTGATTAGCCAATCCTCAATTTTTGGTATTTCTTTTAGTCTCCACATTCTTGCATATATCATTCTTGCAGTTGTTATATATATTAGTAGGGTCTCTTCATTCTTTTTAAGATTTCATTTTGTTATTCCTAATAAATATACTTCTGGAAGTATTTGAAATGTTATATTCAAATTTTTTTTGCGTTCCTGTGAATTTTATTTCAATTTTGTTTGGCTTTCTTACATGTCCACTACATATGGTAGAATGAGCCTTCCTGTGTTTCACATTTCCAGCAATTGGTTTGCATCTTTTTATTAATTTGTCTTAATTTGGGGGCGGGGGGGGGGTGATGTACCACCTGTACATAATTTTAAACCAATTTTCCCTAACATCATGTGCATAAAGACTATTTAATTTTCTATTCCAACTTTCCTCCCATTCTTCCAGTCTTATTTGTCTTCCATGCCCATTTTACCATGCAATCTTTTATCTGTTGTTGCACCTCAGCTAGGGTTCACCTTGCTCAAGAACTCACCAGGAAGCCAAGCGTAGTAATAAACAGTTTATTGAAAAAGCACACAGAGTAAAAAAGTAAAAAAATAAAAATATGTAAGATAAAAGAAGTCTCAAAAAACAGAAATAAATCTCCAATGCAAAGGTTAAAGCATGAAGATTAATCCAAGGAGCAGGATATAATCATGAGCTTGAGTAATCCAAAAGACAAGGAACAAAACATCAACTTGAGTAGTCCAAGAATAAAAAAAAATTACATGAGCTTGAGTCCATGGTAAAATCCCCAAGACTGATAGCAAAACTTGACCAAGACATAGCTTGAAGTAAGGACCAAGGCAGGAGCTTCTTGCTGTATTTGCTACTTTGCCTGATCTGAGAACTGAAAACTATTATTTCCCTAATTAAGGACAGCAATGCATGAAAGCATTCTTTTGACCTTGAGT